TTATTGTGTTGTGCCATTCGTTGAAAGGATCACAGTATGGTGCTGCTGCTGGATTTCAATCTATCATCTGTGCCTCACTCAGCTGTGGCCAACAAGATTACAAAATGATCACATGAAGTTTTGGACTGCAGTCACCAGCATGATGACAACTAGCTGGGCTGCACAGATGAAGCTCCGTCTGAAGCTGCTCCACAGAGAGAGGGAGCCAGCGTGGAGCAACAGAAGAGGTCACAGCACATCGACGTGAACCCAGTGAACACCCTGGGAGAAGCAGAGAGGAATCCTGCAGCCACAGCAGCACAAAGCTCAACACCTTATAAAAGATGACAGCCAGCAAGTTACAGCCTCCTCCTATCAGTGATTACAGTGGAGCCAGGCACTTGTAAAGTCTAATGCACGGTCAATGATGAGCTGTTGCATGGAAATTATTCATTCTGCATGAAAACAGGCAATTGGGCAGTGCTCGCTTCCCCGTGTTGCGATTAAATTCAACAATTTGGTCATTAATTATTCATGGAGAGAAGGCCAAGTGAACAAGAATAATACGAGAGTTTACTGAGCCCCTGAGGGAGAGGGTCTTCTGGTTTGACCCGTTTCAGGAGGAGGTCAACGCTTCCATTTCAAGGATCATGCTGCGCTGCCAGAGGGACATTATGTCCAGAACAAACTGTAACTACTACTATTATTATAATGAGTCAATCAATATAAAGATAATTGGCAAATCGTTTATTTCCAAAGCAAAAATGTTGTTCTCTTTCATCGGCTTCATATCAAATGTAATCTCTTAGGTTTTGGACGGACAGAACTCTGATTTAAAAGCCAATTTAAAGATGGAATTGAAGCAGGGCTGTTCTTTAGTTGGGTGCTGAGTGTGCTATTTAACATAGAAATTCATAATATAATAATGAGATTTCTGTATAAATATCAGTCTAAAAATTAGCCTGAATATACTGTATTTGATCTGCTCAGTTTCAGCACCACGGACAGCTCCACACATACACAAAACACAAATCGCTGTCCATGGTGCTGAAACAACAGCTAAGCAATTGTCACGCTTCTCAGCCAATAGCCGTTTTTCTAAAGATACAAAACAAAGATTTGGCAATCAGACAACATTTGCAAAGTCTTTGTAGCCGCTTGCAACCCTAGCACCGAGCAAAATCACAAACTTATCTTACTTCTACACCAATAGAATCACAGAATAATATACTTCCTTAGAAAGTTGAGTCTGACAGTGTTTTAGAAAGTGCCTGACGACCTCTAATGCTACTGTTAGCAGCTCAGTGTGCTCTGAAGCTGCTTAAGCTAACATTAGTGTCAGCTGTACAGACTTACAGGATGAGCTTCTTCACAGCTCTGGATCCCACACTCATGAAATCTATCCGTGCTGAACCCTAAAGCTTTTACATGTTGAACTATGATGCTGATCTGGTTGAAATGTTGATATGAAATTAACCGTGAGGTGATCAGTCACCACTCTGTTGGTCCCTGTTGAACTACAAACACATATTTAGTTTCATTCAAGCTAAGAAGAAGAAGCTGCTAGCTATATGTTTCCTATTGCTCTTTCCTTAGTGAGATAACATGTTGGACAGGAGATTATGAGCCTCAGAGCTTAACAGAAGTCCAGGTGCCAAACATGAAACCCTCTGTCGGGACCTGTCTTCGGCCAAGAGAAAATGAATAGACACTGGCGTGCACAGCGCTTATTAAATGGACAACATCCAACAGATTATTTTGTTGTTGTTTTTCCAACATGCAGAATTGGGTTGGCAGGGTAAATTGTTCTTGTGAGTTTACAGCCGGTGAAATACACATCCGCCATCTCAAAGTTTCTCCAGTTTAAAACAATGTTAATGATGAAAATTATAATCAGAAAAAAGACTCTTAAAGTTTCAAAGCTGCACTGTTTTGAATAGAAACGTCAGTACTAGGAGAAGTTAGCTTATACAGACTGACATGTAACTCGATGTTGGACACCTTTGGAGATCCTGCATCTACCGGACCATCTAGGAGAGGTCAAATTCATTTTATAGCATCTGATCTGATAGGTACATTAAAGTTTATGGTGCCATAAATTAGAAGCATTATTAGCTTTATCAGACCGCAACGCAACCGCATGTTATGACTAACAGGTCATGATTGTTACTCTGGGATCACACTATTTAATGGACTAAATACACTGAAGTACAAAGGGTCAGACACCGCCCTCAGCGCACACATTTACCAGCTGGAGGTCAGATTGCACCCCCCCCCACTTAGACCACTCCACACCAGGGGTACGACTAACAGCTTCAACACCGGCCATATGAGCCGTACTAACCAGAGACACTATCATGGGTAGGTTTAACCACACAGGTTAGGTGTGAAATACGTACAAATAGATATTTCCCTCAACAAGCATTGTGCTACTGCCATTGTGTCACTTACCTGGTAATGCAACCAGTATTCAAATGCTGGCGTGTATTTAAGAAAATTGAGCCTTGAATATATGGAAGTCGCCATCCATTGACACACAAAAAGTATTGTTATTTTGTTTACTTTCACCTATTTCTGATATTTCCCACGACAGCAGAGCGTGATGATGTCAATCACATGTGGTCAGGTGGGTATACTGTGTGCTACTCCACAATCATATATCTATGATTGAGGCCATGCCCCCTGCTCAGCGGAGAAATTGGAGTCTCTTCCTATTTTATGATGGATTCCTCCTGTAGGAAAGTGATGCGAAAATACTTTGAGTGACCGACACTAAATCCTGATGATGAATGGCAGAGCTAATTAAAAAAAATGGTGTAGACAGAGGGGACAAAAGCTCAATCCAACACAAACTAGAAGGTCTTAATAAAGCAGCAGTTTCCAAATGAGATTCTGACTAAACAGCGAATGCTCCCTGCGGGCACCAGAATGCCACAGCTCACCGTTACAAACAAACCCAACTGACACATGTTCCTTTTAAATTGTGTTGACAAGGAGAGCAGCAACAAAAGCGTGAGAGCATTGAAATTTGGAATGAGTCAATAAGCTGATTTGTAATACACTTTTTCCATTTCGCTCTTTACAAACGTCATTAATCACCGTCACATACTCTTTATCTCATCTCGGAGCGCCATAAATCGAGTTCCTATCACTTCCAGGACAGAAATGGTGTGATTAACAGATTCTGGTCACGCCTGAGGGCCACGATCATTTCAGCCAAAAAGAATCTGCTATTTCCTTTCTGGCACCACAAGTGAGAATGGCATCAATTTATCTAATGTGGAACATTTGGAAAAATCTATTCTATGTGTCACAGTCCCCCAATAACAGTGACAGGAAGGATGCCTTCACATATTAAAGCCCCACACGGGGTTAAATGAGTTCAAAGCAGCCTGTTAGGTGCACGCCCGGGGGCTTGCTTCCTCTCACAGGATGTCAATAAGCTGTAGTTCACAACACAGTACTTGCAAACAGCCGATTTATAAATATACGGAGTGTGATAAGTGTTTCAGTGATTCACTACTGCGATTGCTCCAACAAAAAGAGTGAAAGTCATTGATTTTAAGAGGCGCCAAAGGGAACATTCGGAGGGGTTCTTATTGGACCACAATCGTTATCCGAAATACAGCCGTGGCATGATGGGGAACTGATCAGCTGCAACTAAACCTTGATTCTGGAAAAGCTACTAAATCATGAGCTTTAGTGGAAACAAATGACTTTATGAAGATTCGGCTTTATCAAACAGAAGCTAAGAGAAACATTGAAATTAAGGTTTTAAGCTAAAAATACAAGCAACCTTCATTTCACCAAACTAGACCTCCAAACCCATAAACTACACTATTTGCTGTCACAGCAGATGCATGGGGGACTCTGGGACATTTCTGAGATTAAATGGACATTTTTTTTCTCCCCCCACAATATCAGTATCTGGTCATGCGCCAGCACACAGGCTTAAATGAGAGAATTTGGCAGGGCTGCCGGAATTAACGACCCATGGCGGCGGTGTAAGGTTGAAAGCCATGGTGCTCACAAAAGAGCCTGCAATTACTCCCGGACAAGAAAGAGTGTGAAGGGGTATTGATGTGATCACTTCAAGGAGCAGTGTAATTCCAAAAAGAGGAGAAAGGAGAGATCTGTGGCATTCAGGTCCCAAACTAACAGTCAAAATAAATCTTTAGGAATGGATTTATCGAGGCTTAGGCTGGCATACTGTTCTCAGCGAGGAGAGGCGCTCGCTGTGTATTGTTGTCATGACCCCCGACTGCAAGGTAAAATCCCATTGAGCAGCCTGCCACAGAGGGTTAGTCTGTATCCCACTCTCCATTTGTACGGTCCCTTTCACAGAGCAGCAGAATGTGATGGAGTGATAAAACTCAGCATGGTGACACTCAGCCCTTTATGCAATGAAACTGATGGATTTTACTGGCTCGTGTTAAGTGACATGGATTAGCAGCCAGATAAATCATCATACTTAATATTAGGCTATAAAGTGCACAGCATTATGAAATGCACAATGCTCTCATGTACTTATCTGGATGTATCTGGCTCAGCCTCTTGTTCTCGCACACACACACACACACACACACACACACACACACACACAGAGATATACTGTATGCCAATAAATGGAGCCAACTTTGGATTTAAATGATGGCATGCACTAGAAAACGCAGATTAAGTCTAGGAATGATTCCAGGCTGTTGAGCAGTGTCACCTCACACAGCAGGTAGCAGCTCCACACAACGCTCGAGTCCAAAATGTGAAAGTTAACCTTCAAAAGCAAGTTAAAAACACAACTGCTAGCACAGGCACTTCTGTCAACCCTTTTTTAAACAAGCCACAGTAACGGTGAGGACAAATTAACAGGGGGAAAGAGAGCATTCATAAAACAAAACAGCACACTTAAGCTAATTTCACTTCCGAAAACAGCATCCGTCAAGTTGCGCGAGAGCAACTGGCGCGTGCCTAGTGTCCTGCAAATACCGTTAACGCCACATTTGTCTGCATTTATCGACACTTACCGGCGCTGTTCTCTGTGTCCCGTGGTTCCAACTTGTCCCATCTGCGGGGAAAAGGTCCGCTCCGTACCGTGCCGATCCCTCGTCTGCTCAGTGTGTCTGCCGCCGGCGGGAGGAGAGCAGCCGTCCAATCAGCGGCCGCCTGATTGGGAGGGACGGCAGCCAATCAGAGCCGGCCGTGAGAGAGAGGACCATGATGCTTCTTTGTTTAACCGAGATTGACTTTCAGGCAACGGAGCGACCGCTTGTCATGCCTGGATGATCTGATGGCATCTGGGCGAAAATAAACCCTCGGCTCGGTGAAATTGCAGCAGGGGGATGCAGGGGAGCTGGATGATTGATTTGACTGGTTTCTAGCTCGGAACATCCTTACTGGATTGAACATTATTTCAAAGGAAGGTTCACTTTGTTAAAGCTCATCTCATGTCAGTGTACGGTTTATAAGTTATTGATCATTAATTTATCTTTTTGTATTTTTTATAATTGAATGACTGTATTAGAGAAATGCCACAGCTGTTCATTTGGAAATAGCAAGACATATCATGTTAAGCTATATTATGTATTATTCCTAGCATTGAAGTGTTATCAATGATTGCATCATGTTCCTGGAATGCTATTTGAGCTGAATTTCAACGAAGATATTTCTCACTGTGAACACTGGACCATATGAGACTACTTTGCAGAAGTTTAAGGTGATATATTATGCAAAAGGCACTAATTATGGAGAATAACATGCTACTTGTTCTGTTGTTGGCTGCAAGATCCAATATAAATCTTTATGCAGTCCAATCTTCTGAGGCTGTGAAGACCCAGTGGATTCACTTTATTTCTGACTGAAATGTACAGCAACTCCATTTCAATAAGGGTCAGCGCACAGACAGATTCACTTCAAAACTGAAGCTCAAGGATGGATCGATCGGACTGTCTGCGACCCAACTTCAACCCCTGGCGTCTTACCAGAAATAATGACATGACTGCTGTCTCACATCTTTTATTTTGTATATAGTTCTTTCCACCCCCACATCCTGATAGTCAGTGTAAGCATATATACTGCATACATTCCTATTATCTTTACAGAAAATTATATCTTATTCATCGGGCTCTGGAGTTCATTCGTCGTACACAAAATGTTAAAGGGACTTAGTTATAGTAGCGGAATTTATCTAACGCAAAATTAGGAAAATCTGTAAGTCCGGTTCTCCTCAATGTTATATTAGATTTCCTCTGGACTCTTAGCACCCTTGAGCTGTTGCGCAGTTTTTGGATTATAAGCAACTGTACTGCACGTGCATCCGGTTCCAGTGGTTCCCTGTACATGACATCAGAGCATTGATATATAAAGAAATTGAACATTGGTATCATGGACAGTTTTATTATCGTCTCCTCTCCTATCTGATTGTAAGGGCATTCATCTGGGTTTATAATTGTTTGGCAGAGGAATGAAACGATTAAAAAAAATGTACAAAACTGCATCTGCTTTGGATCGTCAATGGAAACGTTACCGGGGACAAATAACCCAATTAAAAAGATGCCAAATAGCATCTGAGGAGAGGATGCTGAATTATTGAACCGGTAACAGTGCTTCCCCAAGTTACAGGAGCCGTCAGCACAATGCAGAAATTCACTTTTCTGACATTAAAGTCGTTTTTATTTTGCTGGTGTAATTAACATCGCAGTATATTGTGTTTGCAGCCAATTACCCCATGTGTTCAGGCTGTAACCGGAGAGGGGGGGAAACATCTGTCAGAGGTGACAAAAGCCACCTAATAGAAAAATCTGTAACTCCAACAACAGGCCTGCTCTATCAGAGGAAATCAATACGCCTTTCGCCGAAGAGATCTCAGCTGGACTGTGTTATGTAGGTAGGCCATACATCAAAGCAGCAAGACACACACAGAGGAAACAGCTAAGTACCACTCACTGATTAAAAACTCATTTGTATCATTGAGTTCATGAAGCTTTATTTCAACCACAAGATAGAAATGACAAAAAAAGGATGGAAATTCTTTATCCTGAAAAGCATTCATTCAGAGAAAAATTATTAACGCACATATTGAAAATCAGTCAAGAAAAATATACTAAGTAACCATTTCTCTGCACACCAGGTGCAATCAAAGCTAAGTAAAGATCAAAGATATTAAAACTCAGTACAAAAACACAATCAGAGCAGTTCATCTCTCCATGGACATAAGTGAAATTACATGTGCCTGATAATTAGATGAAAGGTTTAAGAGTTGTCGCTGTCGTCGTCGTCGTAGAATCTGTTCCTCTTGATGCGCTCCTCCACCGTCAGCCCGTCGTCGTCTTCGCCCCACAGAGGAGCCTCATCCTCCCGCCCCGTTTTATCTTCTTTTACCTCCATCCCGAAATCCAAAAGGTCATCGAGCGCAGACGCCCGATGCGTCCCGGCGGCAGATTGACCGCCTCTGAAATCAGATAGCAGGTCAGAGCTGCTGCTGCTCAGCCCGGCGAAAATGTCCTCCAGGAAGCTTGATGTGCTAATCTGCAGCTCCGTGGCCTCGTTTTGGAGCGTTCCCTCGCCTGTGAAGAACTGCGTGTCAGAAGAGCGCTCTGTGGCTTCAGTACATTTGGCACCGGCTGGCACAAAAGCATCCTCGCTCTGTGCCAACTGCAGCACTTCGCTTGGCATCCATTTCATTTCTTCATCTGTTTGGAAGAAATCTGTTGAAAAGAGATTCTTCCCGTCCTCGTCCTCACTAAGCCCTTCAAACAGGTTTCCTTGCTCCAGGCCGCAATTATTGTTATTGTTGGAGTTTGCATTCAGCGCCTGTCTTGCCTCCTCATCTATTAAGGTGACCTTTACCGCCTCCCCATTGTTCAAACCGCCATTACTTCCTTTATCTATCTCCGCCTGACTTTCCTCCCCACCTGCTGCACTTTCTTTCTGCCCATCGTGTCCGTTTACTTTCACTTCCTCCACCACAGCTCCACCACCATTCCCTACGCTCTCTTCCTTCTCTTCCACTCCAGGGTGCACTTCAGAGTCCATTTCAGAACGCTCTTGTGCCTCCGAGCCGCTGTTTGACTCTTTCCTTTCTCGAGGGTGAGAAACATTTGCCGGTTTCTCTGCAACTGCTGCGGGGGAGGGGGAGGGGGAGGCCCCTGACTGTACTGGAGTCTCTTCAGGCTTTTTCACGTTCTCTGTTGCTCTCTTGTCTTTTTCCTGGGGTCCATTTTGTGCTTCAGCTGCGGAGACATCGCTCTCCTTTAATGAAGGCCTCAGCGGCTGATTGAGGTGTTCATTTTCCTGAGCGGAGCCCTCCTTAGGGGGCCATGACGGCTTAACCAGCTTCAACTCCCCCTCTATAGTGAAGGATTTCTTGCTGTGATCAGATTGAGGAGGCCACACTACAGACATCTTAGTGCTGAGCTTTTTGTTTTCATCTTCTGATTTTCTCCTTTCCTCATCCTCAGTAACTAGCGGGGTCTGAGCAGCGGGAGATTTGGAATCCATGATTTTCTTTTCGGGTGATGGTGATCTGACGCTTGTCTTTTCGGGTGATGGTGATCTGACGCTTGTCTTTTCGGGTGATGGTGATCTGACGCTTGTCTTTTCGGGTGATGGTGATCTGACGCTTGACTTTTCGGGTGATGGTGATCTGACGCTTGACTTTTCGGGTGATGGTGATCTGACGCTTGACTTTTCGGGTGATGGTGTTCTGACGCTTGACTTTTCGGGTGATGGTGATCTGACGCTTGTCTTTTCGGGTGAATTCTCCTTATTGCTCCATAGTTCTTTGTGTGGTTTTTGTCCAAATCCCTCGTCGTAATTCCCCTTGGATTTGAACAGTTGCGTGAAGTGTGGCTTGCAGTACATTCGTCCATGGAGAGAGGCATAGTTTCCAAGACTGTAGAGGGATACAATAGGTTAAATAATGCAAAATAAAAAAGCAGAATAATGTGGTGCTCTGTGAGTTATCGTCACCTTAGTTTGCCTCTGCAGTGCTCGCAGCGAAAGCAGCTCTTATGGAAGTTGAGTTTGTCTGCGATCAGCGACTCCATCGGGTACACCCTCTTCCGACACACCCTGCACAGTTCGGACTCGGGAACTCGAATTTTCTGCAAAGAAATAAGGCAAAGCTTTAATTAACAGGGTCATCATTTCCTGTTCATTTCCTGGTAACAACCATTTCATTAGGTACTAAATGAAAAGGTTCACCTGGGTCATTTATAATTAATGAATTCCAATTTATTGCTACCTACAGCGTTTTGGCGTAGGAACTCTTCAAACTAAGCAGAATATACTTGAGGGAAGAAAACTAATAAAATAATTCTAGGTTAGTCAAAGAACTAAATAGGTTTTTGGCCTAACTTATCTTGGGAACACTTGCTTAAAAGCAAACCCAGTAAATAATTGATTAATATTCACTGCGGTTTAAGTACATTTTCACACTATCAAATTCAGGAAGGTTAAAATATTATAATGTGATTCACGTAACGTTTTAACATTTTATTCCCAATTGTTATTAGGGTTGACAGCAAACAAGCAATTAAGTGTATCCTCACAGTCAGGATGCTTCTACGAAATTGTACTCTACTCTAATTAGTATCAGCATTGTTATTGCAATTCAGTGTCTAAAAATAGCTTGTGTTTCAAGTTCTGAGAGTCAACTCATAATTCATTAAAAAAAGCTTTGAAAATGAAGTTAATTTAATGTTTTAAAAAGTTACTTATTTTATCAATTCGCAGCATGAGCAGGGAACAAAAGGTGAATCTTCCAGAGAAGTATAAAAATAAATTAAATAGTTGTTCTTCTCGCTGGAGACATTAAAAGCCCTCCTCTGCACCACACACCCAGGCATGAGAATTATTAGTTCAATATGATACACACATCACACGCATGGAAATAAAACCCTGTGAATATTCAAATCTGCCAACCTGACAGCAAGTCAACTGCAAACAGCTCAGAGCTTCAAATAAAAGCACTTCAAAGAAAACCACGTCATGTAAATAAAAGTGTCAAACCAAAGTTAATGCTTCTTTTCTTGCCACACAATGCCTTCAACTCTGAACACACAAAGCATGTTAATCACACCGTCACGCTGGTTTAGTGTCCTCATGCTGCACAGCCTGGTTTACCCGTCACGACAGTCTGCTGCTGGTGCGTTACGATCTGGGAGGTCCTCTGCTCGGTGACACTGAAACCCAGGTTCTGGAACACTCCCTGGCTCTCGGCCCACGACTGCTGGAAGTTTCTCAGCAGTTCCTCGGTGGACGCCTCTGGGGGCACGGAGACCGCCTCGCCTCTCACCACATCGGCGTAGGACGGGGGGTTACCGCGGGTCACGGACTCCTCGCTCGCCGTCCCGTCTGTAATGTTCCCGAAGACGTCGACGGTGCAGAATTGCTCGGCGACCGCTGTCGTTTCCGAGTGACCCGCCGGCTCAGAAGGGGCTGACTCAGACTCTCTTCTTTCTATTTGTTCTCTGAGGTCTCGTGCCGCCTGAGAACCGAGCTCTCCCGTCTCAAACACATTCTTTATCGCCTTGACGTTGAATGTGGGGATTTCGTCAGATTTCGCCGGCTCATCCTCCGCGTCCTCCGTGTCGCTCCCCAGCCTCTCTGTGATGACAATAGGCTCTTTTCTGTTGTAGACCTTCGGTTGGGGGGATTCAAATCTGTTGACCAGCTTAGACAGATCGACTCTTGGGAGATCCTGTTTCAGGAGTTCTATATTCACAGCCTGGGCCCCTTCCTCGGCCTCAGCTCCCAGACGTTCAGGGATATCAATGGGATCCTTACGCATGTACGTCTTGCTCACCTCCGCCTTCTGCGCCTCCTCAAAGAAAGACTTCTTATCTCTGACAGTCATCATGGAGTCCCCCATTTCTCCAACTTCCATCAACCCTTGCTCATCTCTCTCTACGGGGGTCTCCCTGTCGCTAAGAGAGGACGATAGCTCTCTTTCAGCGGCAATGAACTCTTGCACCGGCATGGGAGGTGGTGGGGTCACGACGCGAGAAAGCATGGAGGTGGTATCCCTCAGTTTCACCAGCTTCTCTGAGCGGCTCATCGTTGGCGACGGCGTGGCCCTAAAGGGGGATGTGGGGGTGAAGGACTTGCGAGGAGGAGGCGGGGGCGTCCCGACTGACTTGTAAGGTGGAGGAGACGGGGTCACTCTGAGGGGCGAGTCGATCCTCCTTGACTCAATGCTTATAAAAGTGGGTGAAGGACTTCGGATGCTGGCTAACGGGGAGGACACCCTCTGATCGTCACTTATCTCCTGGTGCACTTTTCTCTCTTGGATTGACTTTTTCTCCTCCACCACCTTCCTTTCACTCTTGGACGAGCCGATACTGATCTTTGAAATCTTAGTGGTCGCTCCGCTGAAAACTTTTTTGTCAGGTTTCGGAGGCACTGCCGGCGGCGCTGACGGCTCTACTTTCTCTACTTTCTCTTCTTTCACCTGCTTTTCCACGGTTGTCACGGTTTCCTCAAAAGTTGTGAGCTTTGTTTGAAAGATATTCTTCACATACACCATCATCTCTTTCAGCTTTTTCTTACTTTGCCGTTTAGTAATTTCGCTTAAATTCTTTTTCTCATCCGCGCCCATGGCCCAGTCGGGGACTTCGCTTATAATCATCCTGACAGCGTTGGAGTCTATTTTGCTTGGTGTGCCTTCCAGCGCTTTTATTTGAGCGAGCAGCTTTTGGGTTACATTGCATTTCTCAAAATCAGTGATTCCTTCTGAAAGACCCTCCTCTTCATGGGTCATTTCCCCTATTACTTGTGCAGGCACATTCTTAGGCAAATCTTTTGACTTCACTGCATGTATCTGCATTTGGCTTGTTTCTGCTGCTTGTACATGTATTTGTTTTTGCACCTGAACGACCTCTTGCTTCTGCAGGCGTTGCTGCACCACCCTCTCAGTCACAACCACGTCCTCGTGTCTCTGAAAGCTCTCTGCCTTCATGCTCTGCTGGCTGTGGGAGACGGATGCATGGCCTTGTCCCTGATGAGCTGCTGCAGACGTTATCTTAGCCATCTTGGGTATTAAAACGGTAACCGATGGTGACAGCTGTACTCCAGCCTCATTCTTTTGCATCTCTGTCCCCTTTTTCACTTGAACCTCCACTTCAACTTTCTCCATAGCTGGGGTCACGTGACTTTTCTTCTCAATTACTTTCATTTCTGTTTTCATTTCAGTTTTTGTCACCTGCTCGCTTTTCTGACTCACTTTTGTTTCACTTTTCTGTGAAACACTACTTTTCTCTTGCTGGAAATGCACTTCACTTTTCATGGCGCCGTCCAACTTTTCCTCTTTCTTCTCTTTTGGCATCTTGAAAGTTTTCACCTTGAAACTTGGAGTTACCTTTGGGATTTTCGTGGGATGAGAGGGACTCATTTTCCCCTCCTGTGTCAGAGGCGCATTAATATTCTTTCCATCTTCAGCTTTCAAAGTGACCGCACTCTGGCTTTGTAGATTAGCATTTTCATGGACATCACTTTGTGTGGCTGTGATAGACCTGCTGCTGGATGTCTTAATAAACTGCTGCTGCTCCGTGACAGAAGAAGTGACCACATTGGAGCATGACTGGATTTCAATATTTGAGGCCTCGCGATTAGCCTGGGAAACGACGGTCTGATTCTTAGGCGCGGTTTGGCTCTTTTGAATGACTTCAGTTGAGGAAAGCATTTTTTCTGAGGAGTGCTCACTGGCAACATGCTTTTTATCTACGGACACACTTGAAGATCCTGTAGCTGATTTCTTATTTACCACTGAGATCAAGGGTTTGCTCAAAGGGATCTGGGAAGGGGTTTTCTTGGGAGGCGGTATTCCGTCTTTGGAAATAGCCTTAGCTTCTTGGCTCTTTGCGGCTTCCGTTGCCACTTCTGAGTCTGCTTTCTGTGCTGCGGGAGGCTCGGGACTGGCAGCAAAGGAGGGCAGATTAATTGGTGGAGACGTGGGAGTTGTGACAGTACTCCTCATGGACTCTTCATTCTCCAACTGCAGGCGGTACCTTTCCTCTGCGAGCATGAGAGGAGTTTTAAATTTGCGAGCAAAAGGTCTAGATTTGGGGGCTTCGGGAGTTGGAGGCAGTTTAATAGGAGGGACAAACACTCTTTTAGGCGGCTGTGGACTCTCTTTCGGTTTCATAGCTGGGATGCTTGGTATTTTTGTTGGTGACATTGCTTTTGACTCGGCCTGAATCTGTTTGCTTATTTCAATCTGTTTGGTTTCCTTTTTCACTTCTTGTACTTCTTCTTTACGCTCCGTTGAGACTGTTTCTGCTTGCTCAGGAGGGAGCTGAGTTGGGGGTGGAGGTGGGGGTGGGGGTGGTGAAGGAGTGGGCTGCTTTTTCTGCCATTTCGGTTTAACTTGTACGTGTAGCTTCAGTGTTTCTGGTTGCTTGGGCAATTTGAATAAAGGCTTGCCGATGGGTTTCCCCAGCTTGGCAGGGGGAGACTGGGGCAATGCATTAAGCTCTTGCTGAGAGGGAGGTGGAGGGAGAAAATCTTGCGGAGGAGGTGGAGGAAGAGGGAAAAAGTCAGGCTCAGACTTGCCTTCCATGGGAGGCGGAGGTGGAGGAGGTGGGAGGTCGCTGTCCTGCCTCATGATAGAAGGGGGGGAGGCTGGGCTCTCCAGCACTGGGGATGGTGGAGGAGGGAGGGAGAGCTCTGACTCTGAGGGTGGAGGCGGTGAACAGGGAGGAGGGGGGAAGTGAATCTCCGGCTTGGCCTTTTTTATGACACTTTTCCCTTTCATGTCCAGGTTACGGTATTCACCCTTTACATTTTTCACGCTGTGTTTTTGTGTGATTTCCTTTTTCTCCGTTTGCTTTTGAGACATCTGCTCGGACACACTTTGCTTATGCACGACACTCTTCTCCGTCACTGTAGTCTGCACCTGTTTGATTGTCTTTGTTTCACATACTTGCTTGTTTGAACTGTTGCTCTGTGATGTGCCATGCACCTCTTTCATCACGTTCACATCCACTGCTTTCGCTTCCGTTTGATCATTATTAGTCACTTGTTTATGCTTTATCATAATAGGCTTGGGAGCTTGTACTTTCTGTGGGGGCAGCGCTTTGTGTTTCTGTTCTTTCATGCTCTTGTGTTGAGAGGCCCCAGTAGTATTGTCTGTGTTGGCAATAGTAACAGAGTGTTCCTCTTGGGTTATTACCTGCGTTTGCAACGATTGGCTTTGGTTCTGCCTCTGTGTGTGCTTCTGTGACTCACTGCTCTGAGAGAGCTTTTTCTCAGCGGGGGCTGGATTGACTGCCACACTCTCACTCTTAGCTTCATGCAAGCATTCATGCTCCGCTTGCTTTACAGTTAATGGATTTTTCACGGGCACTTTTGCTTTCTTGTGGGAACGCTTGGGATTTGAATATTGTTTTCTTTGCATTAGATTCTTTATTGCACCTTGAACGTCCCCTTTTAATACTTCCTCTTTTTCCGCCAGTGTTGAATCTTGTCCTTCGTAGAGACATTTTATCGATGTTTTTACATCTCCTTCAATGCTTCCCCTGCGCTGCATTTTCGAAGAAGTCGTTGGTTCTAGAAAGTGCTGGATGGTGGCTCTAACATCCCCTTGTTCGCTCACTTGATGCTGGTAAGTCTTTTTCTCGCTTGTTGCTACATGCAAACTTTGCATGGCCATGTGGATGTCTCCTTTGAGGATTTCCTCTTTTTCCACCTCTTTTACAGCTTGCTTCGCCTCCTCTAGGGACTTCAGGGTTCCTTTGATGTCCCCTGGCACCAGATCTCCCACAGTCACTCCCGTATTGGAGGTTGCAGACTTCTCCAGTGACTCGAGGGCACCTTTGATGTCTCCCCTGACAATTTCAGGCTTTTCCATTCCTTTGTTTTGATGCTGCGACTCTTCCAGAGACCTCAGAGTAGTAGGGATGTCTCCCTTCACCACCTCTTCTTTGTCGATGACCACTTTCTGATTGATGGCATGGGTCAGTGAACTCAGGGCTGCTGTAAGGTCACCTTTAACAATATCCCTTTTCTCCAGGTTCTTGTAGGTAACAGCAGGCTCTGTCATAAAGACTTTAACATTGCTGTGAACGTCACCAGGAAGTATGTCTTGCTGTGCCACGGTGCGGCCGATCTCCTGCTGATTCTTCCGCAGCAAGATTTTGGTCTCCCGCACGTCCCCCCCGATGATATTCTCCTTTTCCACTATTTCCTTGACGGTTTCATCCGTTTTGCTCTGAAGCTGCTTCAGGTAATCCAAGGCTCCCGACTCAATGCACGTGGAGTAAAAGCTGACATTTCCCCTCTCCGTGTCTCCCACCCTTATCTTTCTGGACTCTTCGGCTCCTGAGTTGGAGAGAAGACGATGAAGGGTTTTGCTTACGTTCCCATGGATGATATCCTCTTTCTCCGTGCTAGACCTCTCCCCTTTATTCAAAAGGGAATAAATAGTCATCCTCACGTCTCCTTTCTCATCCTCTTGAATCAGAATGCCATGCTTGGAGGAGCCTTCGTTCTTGAGCAGATTGTTGACGGCCTCTTGAATGTCGCCGCGGATAATTTCCTCTTTCTCCATATTGATTCCCCTTTCCTGGGCGAGTAGCTGCTTCACCGTGGTGTTAATATTCCCCCGCTCCTCGCTGTCAATAGTTATCCCCCTTTCAGTGATCTCCCTACGGTTCAGGAGGTTCATCATGATGCTACTCATATCCCCTCTGATAATCTCTTCCCTTTGGATCTGGGGAGCTTCCTGGTTCATGAGTTTAAACTTTGCCATGCGGATATCGCCGATCTCATCTGCCTCGATAAGAACACCCTGTGAGTCAACCATTTTCTGACTGTAAAGCTCCTCAAGTGTCTCTTTGACGCTTTTACCTATTATTTCGGTCTTTTCCGTGCTGCTCTCGTTGAAATCATTGAAGGGAGTTGATTCAAATAGCCATGTAGTTGTCTTCACATCGGCCTGTGGGATTTCCTCCTTGGAGACGACGAGCTCTGTTCCGTCAGTCTGTTTGATACTGTCAAGAGGCTGCTTCTCAAAGAGCCACACAGACTGCGTGACATCCCCCTTCATGACTTCCTCTTTTGTCACTCTCTCCATGCCGTCGTACTCCGCGCCCTCACCGTGGATCTCATCCATCGTGCGCGTTTCAAACATCCACGTGGCAGATCGGACGTCACCTTTTTGGATTTCGCTCACACTTACTGTTCTGATGTACTTCTGGGACATCTCATCCGTCTCAAATCGCTGCTTGTTTGTCCTTACATCACCGCCTTGGATATCTTCAACTGTTTTTGACCTGGTTTTTATGTCTTCGGCAATTTCATCCAGGGGTTGCGTTTCAAACCTCCACCTCGCGGAGCTAACGTCTCCTTTGTTGATGCCTTCTTCAGTCACCGATTTAATAACATAGACCTGCTCTGAATCTCGAATTGAATCCAGAGGCTTTGTCTCAAACTGCCATCGAGCTCCCACCACATCTCCTTTAATGATCTCCTCCTTGGTAACTGTAGTTACTTCATGATAATGGCCCTCTTTGTCACAGATGGCGTACAGCGGCTGAGTTTCAAACATCATGGTGTAATTTTTCACATCCCCCCTCTCTTCTTTATCTCTAAAGATACTGGCGAGTTTAGAAATATCACTCTCAGAGGACTCCTCTTTAATTTCATCCAGAGAATATGTCTCAAAGATAAAGCGACTTTTGCCAACGTCACCCCCCTGAACGTCAGTCACAGTGCGACTTTCCTTCGTCTCTGTGGAATCGTCACGTATGGCGTCAATTGGCTGATTCTCAAACATATAGGTGCAGTTGACGACGTTCCCCGCCTGGATGTCCTCGGCCTGCTGCGTTTTCATCCTCTGCATTGTTTCCCCCGAAGTGGAGCTCATTATGTCAGAAGAGCGATTCTCAAAGATGTACTTCATCCTGGAAACATCGCCCGAGTCGATGTCGATCTTCGTGACCCTCCTGAACGAACTGTCCTCACCTGTGATGTTTTCCAGGTTCTCGGTTTCAAAGAGGAAGCGAGCCAGTCTTACGTCTTTCCCTTGCACGTCCTCTTGATTCACAGTGCAGGTCTTCAGAATGGTCTCAGACTCTGTGTGGTCACGTATGTTGTCAAGTGTCTGGGTCTCAAAGAGCCAAGTGCATGTTTTGACATCTCCTTTTTGAACTTCTTCGACATCCGCCTCACTCTTCTCCGTTTTTTCATACAGAACATCCATCGGTTGAGTCTCAAATAGCCACCTGCAGGTCTTAACGTCCCCTTTCTCAATTTCAATTTCTTCCTTTGTTTTTAGTTCTTCATCTTCAAAATGGTTGGAGCTTTTAATGGCATCAAGCGCTTGAGTTTCAAACAACCACTTCGCTGTTTTGACATCCCCTGACTGGACTTCCTGCTTTGATATACCTTTTATGATCTGAAACTTATTGAGGCTTTCATCAAACTCATCAATGGGACGTGTTTCAAACATCCATCTGCAGCTGCGCACATCTCCTTTCACAATCTCCTCGCGCCTCACGGTCTTCACCTCATGGTAATGACCAAAGCTGTCTTGCATAGCATACATAGGGGTCGATTCAAAAAGAACTCTGTTGGATTGGACGGATCCACTTGTGACACCTTCAACTTGAATTCTCTGTGTTCCTTCACACTTACTTAAATCCATACTTTCAAACCTTTCTTTATAGTTTGTCACATCTCCTATTTCGAGAGCTTCAACGTTCACAGTTCTTGTAATCTCCCTCTTCTCCTCTCTTATATTCTCCAGGGGCTGGCTCTCAAAGACCCACTTCTGATGCCTCACATCTCCCTTTTCCTCTTCAGATGCAACCATTTTCTTGAGTTTTCCCACATCCAGCAGTTCCTTCAGATTTCCCATGGGTACTGTCTCAAACAGATGTTTGGCTGTTCGAACATCTCCTCCTACAATCTCCTCTGCAGCTGAAGGTCTAGCATTGGCATTGTCTTTCAGAGTATCCATAGACTGAGTCTCGAAAACCAGACAGTGCTTCCTGACATCTGCACCAATGATGTCTTCCTTTTGCATCCTGGAACTCTCCCATTCCTCATCCTTAATGGTGTCAAGGGTCTTTGTCTCAAAAAGCCATCGACCTTTGTTCACACCGCCTTGGACGTTGTCCTCCATGGATATGCCGCAAATTAGCTTCACCATTGCAGGGTCTTTGCTAATCATATCCAGAGGCTGGGTTTCAAACATCCAGCGTGATGTCTTGACGTCTCCTTTCGCAGTCTCCTCCCTGCGGATTGTGGTGATCTCCAACATCTCTCCTGAATCCCCCCTAATGACACACATGGGCTGGGTCTCGAACATGCGAGTGGTTGTCTTCACATCGCCTTTGATTTCTTCCAGCTCAGACTTCAGGTTAAGGAAGTTGGTCTCCTCAATGGTTTCTGTTTTGCCCATTGAATCCAGATGCTGAGTCTCAAAGAGATATCTAGCAGTTTTCACATCTCCGCCGGTAATGCTCTTGGTGGCGACAATATCGGTCTCCTGCTCGTCTTCTTGGTAAATCTTATTCAGATAATCCAGTGGCTGCGTCTCAAAAAGCCAGGTAGCAGTGCGGACATCTCCTCTTGCGAGATCAGTCAACTTTTGCAACTGCTCAGCTGATTCAGTACCTTCTATCCCGAGAGCATCCATGGGCTTCGTCTCAAACATCCAAGCTGTGTGTCTGACATCTTTGCCCGCGATGATTTCCTGCTGGGCGATATTCCTCACCTCGTCCTCATCCAGGTTGTCATCTTTGATCTCATCAAGAGCCTTGTTTTCAAACATCCAGCGCCTGGACTGCACTTCCCCTTTAAGGACCTCATCCCACTCCACGGACTCTCTGTCGGAGCTCGAACCCCTGCTCGAGTCGTTGCCGTCATTTTCAAACAAATAGCACGCCTGCTGGACTTCTCCCACCAGTTCCTCGCTTTCAAAGTCCTTCTTTTCCGCTTCCGTGAGCTCCTGCAAGAAGTCCTCCTCCAGGTTCTTGCGTACGTCCGGATTCATGTGCTTGTAGATGCGCTTTAGTTCAGCCTTACTCTTGTGTTTGAAGTACTGCTCCTTAGACACAGTGTGCTTCTGTTGGGAGGCAGACTCTTGATGTTGGGAAGAGATGTACTCAGGGGTTTCCTCATACAGGTGCAAGGGTGGTGGAGGGAAGTGATCTGGCATCTCATAATTCATTGCAGAGGCAGACGCTACTGATGAGGCAGAGGCAGAAGCTGCGGATGAGGCAGAGGCAGACACTACTGATGAGGCAGAGGCAGACGCTACGGATGAGGCAGAGGCCGTCTTCACGGAGGAGGACATGTCATAGCTTGTCTTGGTTGAGGCTTTGGAAGACTGATTAACTGGGGTCCATTGAAATTGGTTGAAATCCACATCAACCTGTGATTGGTAAGTGATTTTTGTTAAGGAGAGAGGGAAAGTAAAAGAAGTTTTGAAGTCAGGAAATGGAAATATTTGTATAGTTAAGATAAGGACAGCTTTGAAGTACAGAGAAGGAAGAATAGAAAAGGAAGTCAAATGTATATTCCAAATCTAGAAACAGCAAAAAAAACGAATCTTATTTGGATGTAAATGAACAAGACACACTACCAGTCTGTCAAACCCAGACATCTCCAGTTGTGTGTTCCTAATGACTAAAATATGAATAGAAAATGATTTTAACTTCAGACTGTAATGGGACTCCTTGTTTTAGTCTCAGTTTTCCTTTTATCACTGTGAAAAAGAGAACATTCAGTCGTTGCCTGTGTAATGACATCTTTTATCCACTCCAATTATTCGCCATCAACTCATTGCAAGGCCAATTTTCTTTTTGATGATTTCACCATGTGGCCTGGTCTTTATAGAGATACCTCCCTGCGAAAAAGCCAAAGTACTATATATTTAGATAAACAGACTGCATCATTACCTTAATTTCCTTGGCTGGTGCGGCTCCCTCAATCGTTTTTTCATACTGCTGCTTCAAAGCCTGAGTGGAAACCTTTGGTAGGTCCTCGCCGCCGACGAGCATAACTGAATTAGACACAAGAAGAAGGCTGCCTCATTAAGTCATTCGCAGTGAGCGAGCTCAGAGGGATTTGGAAGAGAAATAAATCATTTCATTAAAACCTGAGTAGTTTTCATTTTCCAAAACCATGCAGCGGTGATTGCCCAATTTCCACTTTCCAATATTTTACATTCCTGACTATGCCCTGATTAGATTTACTGCTATGCACCACAAAGAAAATCATCTGCACTCCAACTCGTTTTCATAGCTCATCCCTTATTCAGCTGTAGAGGGAACAATCATTCATATAAAGGACACAAGCAGTGATGAAAACATACTAATTACAATATCAAATCCATGAGGGGAATAACCTGTTTCATTGTAATGGTTCCCGTAACTGGCAGCCACATTGTTCTGGTGGACTCTTTCGTCATGGATCACCTGTGGAAAAAAATGTGTTAGTTAGTATATCGCCAAATGCACTGGAGCTTCAATCAGGGACAAGTTAAAGCGTTAGCATGAGGCTAGTAACCAAAGGAGTGGGTTTACGGTAAGATGCTACCTTACAGCTGTTGACAAATTACTGAGGGGAACAGGAAGTACCTCTTGTTGACTGTGAAAGTGGCTTGTAGCGGGAACGACCTCTCTGGCACTGCTTTTCACCGTCACTTCTGAGGAGCTTGACACCTCCTGTCAAACAGAGAGAAAGTGATGACTCCCTGTACATGACACACAAAGACAGACTGCCTGCAAGTAAGTCATTGTTGTATCACAAAAAAAGCGTATTAGTTCCCAAAATGTTGTCCCATAACAAACAGAGCTGCTTCGTTTAAATTCCAATAACGGACGATTTTAGTCTTGGAGAGGAAAAGCAATAGATTCCCCCAAAAAAACTGCACCAAACGACTTCTTCCTGCAAGTGAGATTCATGCAATTTGTATGAGATGAAAGAGAAGTATAATATGTTAAGCTTGTATCCACTGCTGTTAACATGAAAGATACACGGAGGCTCGGGGTGCTCTGTACTCCTGAAACCACTTATGTCAGAATAATAATATCCTTCCTGATGTACAACCGGTTATAACACCAGAGCTCGGATAGAACACCTGCGAGGAAGATTCGAGCGGAGAGTGGTTTGCTGTTAGCAGAGAAGCGATGCCTCGATCAAAGAGACACTACCCCTCACAAAGTTTTCTGTCAATTCTAGCATTCAGCAAGGTCCTTGTGCGCTCCATGAATCCACTCTGCTTCCCCGCCCGAATGAGCAGAACTGACCTCACTTCACTGAGACCGGGGCTGCTAACGTGTTCTGGCATTTCCCTCACGCACTCCATGACACCGCACATATTCGAGCAAAGTTCAAGGTGCCCTCTTTGATTTGACCTACAAGAGGGCGCTCGCAGACACAGCAGCCAAGTGTTCCCAATAAAGGGCTACAGTAGAATGTGAATTGCACAGTGGCATTTAGACGTTTCACACTTTGCGGAGAGCTGGGGAACAGAAAGGACAGAGGTACTGAATTTAAATCATGGGCAGATTTAGAGACAATGGGTCCCTGGGTACAGCCATGCAAAAGACCCCTCTAGTTAAATACATAGGAGCAACATGTTTAGGTTATTTAGCCTCTATTTATTGTCGTTCTTTGTAGTCATTTGCTTCTCTTGTTACTCATTTGGGTCTCTTGTTTGATGTTGTGAGTCGTTTTGTGGATATTTTGTCATTTGTGGCCAGTTCAGTAATCCATTCGTGCTTCAAATAGTAGCAAGAAAAAAAATCAGCTTCAATCTTAATATCCTCCTCACTCTCTCCAATAAAGAATGTGTCGCATATTTGATGACATTATCACACCTCAATAAAAAACTGCGACTGTGGCTCCATCCTCACCTGCACAGATCTCTGCTCGTAGTGGAACTGGGCGACGCTGGACTGAGAGGATGAGGAGGCAAACTCCTGGCTCTCAAACTGTTTCTTCACACTGGCCAGACCCCCCGGCAGCGAACAGGCCTCGGACTCATCCATCACCTATCAGGAGAACACAGATAGCATTAAACACACCGACAAATCAATCCGTATACAGGTGTTGGATTAAACATGACATTAGATGAGATTCCAGAGATTGGATTTGACCCAAGTGAACCATACTCTTACCCCCATTGATTGTGAATATGTTATACATTACCTTATGCTAATGTGAAAGTGAATTATGCTAATGCTATGAAAAGCATTAGCAGTGTTGGAGGTCCTTTAAACGTGTCGTGAATGCTGTAATGGTAAAAGCATTAACAATGGAGGCACATGGTTCCTTTATAATCCTGGAGGAGGTGTAAAAGGGGATGTGTTCAAATGTAGATTTAACAATACTGAGAGACAAGATAGAAGTCAAACTGACATCTTTGTGATCTTTGTCAAGCTGAAAAGAAATAAAACATTCAATTAAAGTCATTTTTTGTGTTTTTCTCTGGGAATTTGAAGAGATAAAGAAAGATGGCAATTTGAATGGATTTTCTTTGTCTGCAACACAGAGTGAAACCTCAATAGAACATTCCGTTTCTCAGATTAGTCAGGTTAGTGGCACAAAAGAGCCTTTCAATACTTTTTATTGAGCTATAGAAGGAATTATATTTTTCAAACTGGAAAAACATAAGCCTGTTTTTGGACACATTCCACTCCTCATCAGTATGGAGTCCTCACTCTGCTATATCTCGAATGCACACTGACTATTTGATACAATAATCTCCTTTTGGGATTGTCAATTACTTTTCTAATAAAACATTTATATGTAGGGCTCTGCATATATAGCTTCTTGGAAACTGCAATATGAAAAGAAGCTTTCTGCTTTATGTGTGTGTGTGTGGGGGTGTGTGTGTGTTAATGTGGAACACACACCCACACTTGCCACCTTTCCTTTTAATGCAAATGAGGGCTCCAATGCAATTTGCAAGTTATTGCAGAGTCGTTCAGGTCAGTGACATTTCATGGCAGGGCACTGTGTTATCAATATTTTAATACTGCTGGGTACAATAGCTGAATAATATAACATGAAGCCAACATCTCTCGTTTAAAATGACCGGCGTACACATTATGGACAAAAAGTGAAGTCTTCTAAACCTGCATTCTTTCTAATAGCCAGCAGGGGGCATCTTGTTGCTAAAAGAAGTCTGATTGTATAGAAGTCTATGAGAAAATAACCCTACCTCTAACATGATGAACACTTTCCTGCTGAGTTTACGGCCTCAATCTCTAGTTTTAGGTCTTATTTATTACAGCCTCATTTTGCAAGACATGGTTGCATTAAGAGGACAGTAGACGATAAACAAGGGTATATGTTTTAGGGTGTGGTTATTTTGACAGGTTGCTATCAAGGCTGGTTTGTGTGTTGTCTGTGTTTCTGTCTTGTGATTTCTGTTTGTTATCAGTTTGTAAAGTGAAGCGTTACAATTTGATTTCCTAAAAATGACATTTTAACTCTTCAGCTGGACTTAGCTCCATCCTCTTGGAGGCCTCCGTATGGATACCAAGTAGAGATATGTGTTGGAGACAGGGCTTCTGGATGATAGAGAGCGGTCAGACTGACTGGTGTCCATCAAGGCTCCTGCTATCTTTAAACACCTTGTCACTTTTGTGGACATGCAGACAACAGCTGCAGAGGTGAAAACAACCCCCCCCCCGCCCTGCCCTGCTGCCCGGACACACAGACGCACAGACGCACAGACATCCACATTCAGCTGCCAGGAGCCACCTCATGGGGGTCAGGGAGGTCAGCTATCTACAGTATGGTGCTAATTCATTATCAATACAAACATTTCATATACTTCTTTTGATTCATTTGATAATTATATTATCAGATTAATCTGCAGATGAGTCGTTTTGTCTATAAAATGTCAGAAAACCGTGAAAAGTTATGGAAATGTCTTTAAATGTCATACAATTTATTATGATATTAAACAGAGAAAAGCAGGAAGTCTCATTATTTGAGAGGCTGAAAACGGCTTTTTTGGACATTTCGCAAGAAAAATCGCTTTAACAATTATTTGTATTATTATCAATATTGATTAGTTGACCCATCTCTGCTACTCTATATTTCACACATACATTTATTTAGACCATACAAATCAGGATAACTAAATGAAAAAAATAAAATAGTAGCCATAATTTTCTTCATAGTTATTGAAGAAAAACGTTGGCGATCCAGCACTTCTGTACAATGACTGCAGCATGCATGTGTTCCCTCGTCATGTACAGAGAGCCCAGAAGGTGGCAGGTCGTCCTCTTTAAACCCTCCCAGTGTGGCCTCATGAGTAACATGCTAAACATAAATTATTAACCTCTAACAGACCAACAGATAGGAGGATACAATTCTTGGATCACTGCATTCAACGAGTGTGTCGAGATTTTTACCTTTAAACTGTACAACGCAATGTGACATTGGAGCTGCAGAGTATTCATTTAGAGCTGGCGATATCCTCTCTCCGTATCCGACAAAGCCCTGCTCGGATGTAACACCTGCTTTCTCATTACATTCTGGACAGTTTCCCCTGTCACAGTGTTGAGTCAGCAGCGATAAATCAGGTGCCGCAGATTTGTTCACAATTCTCACACACTCTCAGCTGCGTTTAATTCTCCTGCACTAAACCTCCCTTTGGTGTTTTAGTAAATAAGGAACAAGCTGTACGCGTAGAGGGAACAGACGTTCTCTCAGTTTCAGATACCGAGCTGACTTACTGCAGTGGCCTTGGCTGACTAACTGCTCACACGTTTGAATTATTGGGTTCATAAAGTGCATGCAGGCTCTTCAAAGCTGCTGAGGCTTTTCTGTTCTCAGTAATGACTAATGACTCGGGGATAGTCAGACACATTTCTGTGTTTAATTAAAGTGTGGAGGCCTGCCGATGAGCTGGCTGTGTGAGCACATCTGAATATGCTGCAAAACACACTTTTTCTCTCCACAGATGCATTCAAACGACTCTGACACGGTGATTAATGCTTTCTATAAAGACCTGTGTTTGTAGCATTCCCTGCCTGAATGTTGCCAGTGCATATACCTAACATAATAATCATTATGTAAGTATGATTTATTCAACTCTTTTAGCAGTCATTCATATAAACATTCATATAATACTTTTGACATTTAATATTGGAATGACATAAATAAAAGTTTACTGTTGGGGATTTATAGTTGCTTTTTCATTAGATAACGATGGATACCTGCGTGTGATGGTCTCATAAGATGTGTTTGGGATTTATGTGAGGTGATACTTTTCTAATACTGTTTTATGGCCAGTCGTGAAAGAACTACTCAGACTCAAAAGAACATTATACAAATCTAAAATAATATCAAGTATTAAAAATGTAAAAGTACAGAAGGATTATTAGCTGAATTTGTTCAAAGTGTCAAAAGTCTCTACTGGGACATGTCTCCATGCTTTAATGCTCAAAAAGCTCTTTATTAGTCTCATACTGCCTGAGCTGCAGCACCTCTTTTTGTCTGAACCCAGAGGCCAGTCTGCTCTGATTGGTTAGCTGGCCAGCTCTGTTCTGATTGGACAACCGCTTAGAGATGTCATAAAAAAATCTCTGAAACAACCACAAAAGGTTTTGCTAGGCTTATTTATCTTAGTTACTGTTGTTTGTTGTTTGTTATACTAATTTCGGTCACAAGAGGCTGAAGTGAGCCATTAACCCATTCAGTAAATTATCTTTACTCATTTTTCACCTGCAAAAACACAACATCAACATGTTTACGTACCTAAGAAAGATCAACCTGGAAAACATTTTGTTCCAACTGACTTGCCTCTTATGGCTTCCTTATTTTTTTCAATGACAAAACCAGATAAAAAAGGACTCTAAACGTGTGTTGAGAACCAAACGATGTATCATGCGGACACAACAGCCCTATAAGAAATGACATGACATGTTACATTATTCCCACTGGCTCCCGTTCACACCCCCAAGGTTTAGTTTTCCCACCCAGTGCTGAGCCTTATGACACTTTGACAGATAAGGCTACCATCGAGCAGATCCCTGTGGCACTGAGTAGCCTTCAAGCAAGACAGTGTTCAGTGACAGCTCATTTAAGCTTTAGGGAGAAATGGATGGTCATACACCATCAGCAGCTATACTGTCAGTTTAACAATTACATCTAAACGTGCCTGTGTATCCTTACGAGCATCTCTCCTTTCACCCATGTGGAAGTATTGTCTTACCGCTGCAGAGGATGAGCTGCTGGTTTCTTTCTTGGACACGGCCGCCTGATACATCGCCAGACGCTCCTTCACCGACACCGACTCGCCCTCCTGCTCTTCCTCAGGACGTCCGGATCTACCTGCAGCTGCACAAACACAAAGAAATAACCGTTATCTTAGTAACAAATCTCATCATCACACAAGTAGAGGAATTAAACCAAATGTAGTGGTGTCTAAAATATGAAAAACAGATTGACCTTTTTTGAACCTCCCTGTTTATGAAAAGACATCTGCATAGTTGTGGATACTGTAAAGGGGCCAGAGGCAAACAATCAATAACAAATGTGGACACGAACCTGAAATGAAACACTCATCAATCTCGAGGCTCTGCTGTACGATACTTCATATCGCTCCGCACATCCCCAAGGATAGCCAATTAAAGAAGACCACTGATTTCACATTTGACTTTCCTTCGCTACAAAGCATCATTAGGCAACAGAGAAGACTCCATTAAGGCTCAGCATACACCCACACTGGACCTTTTCGCTCTTGGCATGTTCTCTTTCTCTGGGAAGCAACACCGTGGGATGGTAGAAGACCCTAAATAGAAATTATTCTCTCTCTTATTATTTGCTCACGCTGCAACCTTTTGACATTTTGACACCTCCTCCTTGTTGTGTATTTCTACTAGATGATTACATATTTGCTTCGCATGTATTTACTAGTTTAAGCTCCACTCAAAGTAGAGGTCAGAGTGAATTATACTTGGTGACTGATTGTAGAGTCTTAAAGCAGCTGCCTTTTGAATGCATTAGGCTCCAGTGAAGGTCTTCTTTCTGCTGTGGCGTTACGGAGCTTAGTAACACTTACAATGCAGAGCGGTGTAGTACATACTGTTCATGCTTGGCGTTGCAAGGCCAGCTATCTAAACACTTCTCTTAGCTCACTTATAGTATGTCTATGACTACACTGGCTAAATATAGCCCCCTTTTGGTATCTATACTATCACAAATATCAATCAACTTCAACTAGTTAAGGCTCATTCTGGATTTCCTATAAACATTTAATGAATAAGATTCTATATATAAGGGACAGCTTTTTTTCAAAACGGCGTTTGTCTCACACTTTTGCAGGTAGGTGCCTTTTGGTCAGTCTGAAGTATTAATGAGATGATAATGATAACAACTAAGAACAGCCATTTTGTGGGTTGATAATGTTCAAAATGGGTGATTCTTTCCCTTTTTCAATAACTCTTAACTGAATGAAATCATGTACAATCCTGAAAATAAAATATCAAAAAGTACAGAGAAAATAGGACGACACTAAGGGAACAATTGTAAGCTCCAGAACATTTGTAACATTAGAATATTAGAGTGTTAAGTGTTAGCGGTAAGCTCCCCAGATACAGTTGTTTACCTACTAGTCCTGCAAATAGCAAGTTCTAGTACAATGCACAGGTGAATTTAATGGTGCCCTTACTGGTGTGACCTTAATGCAGACAAGTCAAGAATGACTCTTCATGTCACCAATTTTAGCTTTCTGCTACGTCCGGCATGTTGGTGTAACCAATAACCCGTCCGAAATAGGCTTCCCGAGACATCCGAAAATAAGCAGGGGTGCTGCGTGGTAACTTATTACTGGCTCGATGACAGAAACACAAGGATAATGCCCTCATTTATCACCGGAGACAAATGATCACGTCACGGTCTGGCGCTGTCAGAGAGGCAGAGACGGAGAGAGCGGTGACAACAGCTCTGGATATCTCTGGCTTCTGACATGGGAATGCCGTATGCAAAGCTGCCATAGCATGGACGTGAGGTAACCAGGGCTCTGAGGGGAGGGGGGCGCTGCCTAGAGAGAAAAATATCCCGGGCCTTTTTATAACCCGGCTTTGTCTGCAGCGTCATTTTCCCTTCTGAGAGCGGAAGTGCGTGGTAGAAAACAAAAATGGCTTCTAATGAGATATCTTCTAAGTCACCTTCTCTCAATGCTGCCTCTAATGAGTACTGGCACCATCAGATGTTAAATAAGCATCAATAAAAGTTTTCAAACAATGTCTCTGTATACAGTGTGCTATTGATATCAGAAGAACGTTTTCACAGGCTTACACTTATAACCTTCTCTGCTTTTGACGGAGGCATATTTACCTCCACACTCAATAAAACTCTCTGCTTCTCAGGATATTAGCTTGTTATCTCTTAAATGGCACAGCGGCGGCACAAGTGATGGCACCGGGCGGGGGGTAATGGAAGAGACGAGAGTCAACAGGGGAGGCCATGCTGCTGCCGCCATGCACGACTCACTGGCTATATTGAGCCGAGCCTGGAGCTATTGACCCCCCTGTCACTGTGTCTGCTGCCTGCACTAAAGCGATCAGAGGTGAGGTGTTACACCGCCAGAAGAAAGGGTTTGAGGTTGTGTCCAGGAAATAGAGAAAACGAGAGTCATTTCAAAGTATATGATTGCAATAGAAGGCAGCATGGCTCCGCAGCTCAGAGCTGAATCATGGCCCGTAGATCTGTGTGGAGCAGAGGCCGTCCCCTAATCACAGAGGTGTCGCTCCCTCCTCTGCCCCCTCCTCACAACGAGAGCCTTAAGCAACCCAATTTTCGGTTTAGTACTTTCTGACCAAAGCTTTTTGGCTGGCGACGTTTGAAAGGAGAGCCAAATCGAGCTACACTAATTGAAATGTCAGCCGCGGAGGGCGATTTCTTCTTCACTGAAAAAGAAAAAAAAAAAAAAAAAACACAGCCGCAATAATTGAGCTGTCAAATATATCAAAATAAGTTCTTTACATAGAGGCTGGATCGCCCTACGGTTCTTCCTTATGCTAGGCTAAGCACTTTGTCTACCATTTGCTAAACCTTCAGAATATTCCAGATCAGATTGCCGCCGGTGATGTCTGGTGGAAGGAAACAGGAAGGGCCCATGCATGTGTTATGACAGTGCACAAATCCTTGAGGAATCCTTGAAACAAACTGAAATATCATGTCTCCAGTACCTGATGTTCACTTAATTCCCATTTTACACCAAAGATTGCTCGTGTCTGCGCTGCCTGGGCACATCAAACCAATTCATTATCAGCTAAAATGTCATCTACTATTTCCAATTTGTCTCCTTCCACTTTGGCGCTTGGGTGGAACATCCTTTTAAAAAGAGCTATGCAGGCAGTTATGTTGAAGCCTTGTAATACTGATAGTCTGCAAACATTGCTTACCTTCTTTAACCGTGTAGGTTGCTCTGTAAATCACACAACAATAGAATCCAACAGAATACAAAAGGGTGTTGAATCTCCAGAAAATGTAATAGGCTTAGTCGCCCAGCGTTAACCCGACAAACACAGCAGATCCTGGGCAGAGAGACGGAGAGGCTTGGAGACCAGCTCCAGCAGGGTGCTCTACAGTGCAATGAGGCCCAGGCGTCCAGCAACAGCTGATTTTATTTTAGAAGCCCCCGTGGTCAAAAAAATAGGAGTGACTTGGGGGAAGGTGGATGTGGGTTGGCCTTTTTTTAGTATTGAGTATCGAGGTACCCAACATGCCCTTAACCTTATGTCACAGGAGTCTTATGGACACAGATGCCTCACACTGTGAGCTGGAAAACTGAAACTTAGTACATCCTCTATTTGACATTTAATACCACTGCTTGTTAGCATGGGACATATCAGGGTATTTCATGATTCAGAGGGGGAGATTCACACATTGCTTCACAGGCATTGGGAAAGTCCCTACATTATGTCACCAAATATTGGGAGGAAGTTATTATTATTTTGTTATCAAATTATTTGTGAAAGCAAGGCTAGCTGTCTCCCTGTGCTCCAAATCTTTATGCTAAGCTAAGCTAAGTCAAACCAGCTAACAGCTAGCTTCGTATTTAACATGTCAATCTTCTCAAGTAACTCCAAATAGTAAAACACAGCATGTTTTCTCATACTGTTCCTTTAATAGCTGGTAATAAAATATACTTATTATAGCAATATACTTATTATAGCAATATACTTATTATAGCAATATACGCTACATATCCTGCCTCTCTATGTAAAATATTGATTATTGATTCATGAGCTCAGCTTCATTTATGATGTGTTGCCAAGTCAGCTTCATCTGAAATATTCCTTTATCCAGAGAAACACCTTGATAGTATAGCTCTTAAACTTCAATGTGTTAAAAACCTGTCGATGTATAAGTCTGAGAGACATGCTCACGATGTCCCTCTTAAATTATATATTGCCTGTGAAAGCGGCTCAACTTTTTTTTTGATGTGCTAAATGATTCAGAACATTCTGCCAAGAGGAGTTGAGTGTACCTTTCTAGGTGATACCGTTCGTCCTTCGAAAAAACCCTCGTGTACGCGGTATGCCTTCTATCAAGATGTGCTTTTTCAATGACATCTCAAATGGACCGTAAGGGACTTCAACCAAGGGAAAAGTGGGGATTCAGAGAAATGCAAGCTGTGCATAGAGACCGAATTCAGCAAGAAACCTTGAACTGCTAAAATAATCAGTTTGGAGAAAATAGGAAATATTTCCTTTCTGTCTGCCTGTTTTTTCTCCTTGGATGTATGTTGCCCTTAAGCAATGTTAGAGGTCCCCTTCAAACCAGTGACCTTATGTTCAACCTACCTCTTCTTTGTCATTACAAGAGAACATCTAGTTTATATAACCCTGCAAGTAACATTTATGTCTATTCTCTCCATATTATTTGCTGTGATCATGACGGTTTATATGAAACACAAGCCCGCCCCAGCACATCGACGAGAGGAAAGCGTGGTTATCAGGCTTGTAGAGAAGCTGCTCACTGCTGATAATCCCACTGAAATTGCACATGGATTTCCTGTTCCTAAAGCGGAAAATAATCATACTCCTGGAGAATACCTAATGAACGGGCCTGAGAATATCCCACAAATCCATTAGTGAGTACATATTCATGTGAGTTTCAAACTCAAATAACTTTCAGAAATTACAAAGTGCTGATTACTCTCTTCACTTTATTAGAGTAAATTGCCAATAAAAAGATTTACTGTTCCGTGTTATTACAATGTCTGGGTTGGGTAGGAATGCGCTAATCAATGCTAATGACTAAAAGGGTATTTAACCTTGTGAGAACAACATTTCAAAACTTTCCCAATCCTTAACAATTCATTTTGGCCTTGGCATACGATAAATAATTTACAATAATGGAAGGACATTTAAACTCTAAAAAGGAGAACCAGTTAAGTTACACAATACAAACAGGGAATCAATCTCTCACAGAAGAGGACTTCCCCTTCGATGGCTGGGTGAGCAATCAATGTGTAACTTATTGAGCTTTAGAGGGTGGATTTGAAAACTTTGGACGGATCATTGAATACTAAAATGTTAAACTCTTACTTTAAAGTGAGACTATGGGACTTCTGCTAACCACTGCGCCATTTAGTCCCCTAAAAAACAAGTCTACAATCCAGGCAGGAGAAACAAAGATAACCTTTTTGTTATCAGTACATTTTTGATTTTAGGAAACATTGCCAGGTATATGTGGTGACCTTTTCAATAAAGCACTTAGCTCTGCAACCTACCTAACAATGCTTGCCTTAGCTGTTGGAAAATCACTGTGACTAACAGCTTCTCGTGTCTATATATTTAAATAACAATTGCTTGGGTAAACAGTGCAGTCACAGTTAAGGTGGAACAAAGATATTGATAGTGCAATCATGCTAAAAGGATTAGATTAAAAAGGACTTATTTGCTCATAAAGGATTTAGATCTACAAGTTTCAATGTCAAGGATTTCAGATAGTATCACAATCCATGCTTAAGCTCTAAAGTGAGAAGATATTGTTTTGTCTGTATCGGCCTAACAACAAAACTTCAATTTCAAAATCCCACACATCAATCATATCTTACGAGCTAATTTGTGTCCTCTAATAGCCGCTAAGAGGATCAAAACTGAAACTGACAGGACGGAAATCTTTGTTTTTTCTTAGGATAATATAATAAAGCCATAATCATTTGGCAGGCAAATCTGGGAGGAAATTAATTAAAACAAAAACAATACACGTCTTTTGGCAAAGCCAGCTCCAATTGGCAGCATTTGCAACAAAAGATCTGTTGCCGTGTGTGTCTGACAAGTCTAATCAGCCACAGACTCATATAAATATATACACACACAACTTTAAAATAGGCATTCCTATTTAACTCCGCTGTAGTGTGTTCCACAAATCCAGCCGCAGTTACACGGCGGTGATTCTGGTGTAATAGGAGGAAGAAGGTAAACAAGGATGCAGCGTGGAGATTTAGAGGTGAGCTTTGCATCTGTTTAAAGAGCAGTTATTTAAACATTGCGGCTTTGCGGGGGAACATCTCCTGTAGCCCCCTTTGTCATTTGACCTGGAGGATTGCGCGCTGCCGTCAGTGACATCTTGTCAGCAGAGACCAAAGCCGTCGCTAAGTCAGGACAACAGGATTGTCAAGAAGCGCCAAGTTTAGACACGGCACGGAGATTTAGAGACTCGCAGAGCGGCACGAAAGCCTGACTGATCTCAGGTAGAGATGGAGAGGCTCTCAGTCATCGTGTGACAATATACCGTATGCATGGTTGAGCATATGAGTGTGTGCGTGTAAATATTTGTGTTTAACCTCGATAACACTTTGAGGGCTGTCAACACATGCGTCGCTTTAGATTCTCCCCCTCTACAATCATCACCCCTTGTTTTTCCTATTTTCCATTTGCGTGACATTGCGTGACATTGCATGACACTTGTGTTGCCAATGAACAGAGCAGGAAATGAAGGACACAGGGAAAAGACAACAAGGGGAGTAAGAAAGTCATTATCAACACTGGCTGTCGTAGTTAAACTTAACAACGCAATTATTGAGGCCATCAGATTTCACGATGGCAAAAGATTGCATGCACTCTCAGCTTATCTTTAGATGCATCCTTAGCCATTTTCTTTGCTTGGGGGAAGGTATCAACGTTAATGTTCTTTGTCCAAGACTTGCCTTACAAATTGTTTAGAAGGAAGCAAGATGGCTCACTCCTTACCTACATCTGTCTGCTCTTGACCAAAAAGGGATGTGTCTAATTTAGGCGGCATGTTTTATTTCGCCATCAATACCAAGGGTAAACCGACACAACTCCCTTCCTAATACATATTTGATATTACTGCGAAAAACATTCATTTTAAACAACTGCATGTGTTACTTGCCAAACACAACATTTATAACCATCATAACGTTGTAATTGACCTTTGCCCAATATTAATCTTTTATTGATAGAGACAGAGAGAGCATTATATTGTAAGTCAATGCAACCTATGCTCCGTTAGCTGTTAGCAGGACTGTGCTCTCACTAAATAGCTTACGTTATAGCTGTCCTCCTTCTCTACAAGCACAATTGGGATTTTAAATTGTAATAGTTGTACAGAATTTGTGTTGTACTTTTTCTGAGGGGGATTTATCCCAATTTTTTTTGAATGGTTCAATAATTAGCATCATACTGTGATACCTGCGAGGCCAATGTGTTCGGACTTACTCCCCTTGGGTTGTTTGTGATTGTCAGCCAGTTAAATAAAAAGGAGCGTACCTTGCACTGTAAGCTCCATCTGTGTGTACACCGCTATCAGTGGAAAACAAACTGGAGGTAGCCACAGCAGTATCACAGTAATGGAAGCACAGTATCTAGCGAGCCCCCAGCTTCCCATTTAAAAAGCTGCCAGGGAGGGAAAGCCTTATCTGGCAACAAACTATCTAGTTTTCAAAAAGCTGCTTTCTGCCCAATGTTTATCTCGCATAGAACAAATGGTACAACACATTGCATTATCCGAGAGGCAGCCTCGGGCGTTTAGTTTGACGGAATAGTGTAACCCTGATGCAATCAGAAAGCCGCTTGTCATATGTTATAACACTTCCGATGTTGCATCACAGAAACGTATGAACTCTGTTTAAAAAATTAAAAGAGTACTCACAAAGAGTGGTGTCCTTAGGTGAGGCCATGGTGTGATCTGGTGATGGTTGAGCCTGTGTGACACTACCGGGCAACACTCTTTTGGACGAGGAGGTGCTTGTCACTTCCTGGTTGAGAGAAAGATAAAGGGCTATCAGGGAAAACACCTGTGTTTTCTCAACATGTAGATGGAGAGGTGACGCCAAGGGTCATCAAACCCAGCTGGCTGTAACCCATACACACCCTAGACACACATGTACTAACATGGATACACATGCTACTACACATACCTTAAGTATGAAAAATGATACAGCCAAGTGACATTCAAGATGTGGATTCCAGCAAAACTTTGTTGCTGTCGCCTGAGCTACACACACACGCCCACACACACACATCTGCGAGTGTAAAGAGAGACGACCTTGAGCACAATGTGAGCAGCAGGCATTGACTGGAAAGTTAGAGCAAACAGCACGTGGTTGCATTTTAATAGAGCCACTCTAGCAGTAACTAATGCATGTTTTCACTGGCTTCTATTGATAAAGGCTACAACATTGGCTAATCGCATGTCCTCGGTGCATACAGGCTTGCTGTTCCCTTGGAAGCGTTTTGTCAGCAGGTGCAACACGCCCATTCAGTTGCAAATCATCGCTGCAGGGAACAAACACACCTGTGTCTGTAAGTGTGTGTGTGCATAGGCGTGTGTGTGTGTCTTTGCAAATGTGAGGGTGAGTGTTTCATTTGCAAATCAAATGCACTCCCAGTAGCGTTTTTTCAACAGTGCCTTGCTGGGCTTCAACGCGGAGTGACAACAAACTCGCAACATGGCTTAACCACACACACACACACACACCTCTGTATATGTGTAGTTTCCTTTTTTCTCTCAGGAAAGTGTCAACCATAATTTAAAAAATGCACCAAAGGACAAAATCCCATTTAGCAAATCCCCCAAAAAACACAAAATGCATAGTTATTTGCATAATTTCACACACACACACACACACACACACACACACACACACACACACACACACACACACACACACACACACACACACACACACACACACACACACACACACACACACACACACACACACACACACACACACACACACACACACACACACACACACACACACACACACACACACACACACACACACACACACACACACACACACACACACACACACACACACACACACACACACACACACACACACACACTTCCTTTCTGTCACTGTCTCTCTCCTGCTGTAGTAGCACTCACATCGAATGAAACTCAAATCAGTGAGCTGCAAGGAGCAGGAGCGCCCGCTAACCGCAGCTCCCCAGCGCTCTGTGTTTGACTGCTGATATTAGACAGAGTATTTTGTCTACAGCGGGGTGTTACTTTGCTCAGGGGATGATTAAGTGCACACGCGGTGAGGGTTTGTGTGAAAGCCGTGTGTGTGTGTGCGTGAGTTTGTGGTGGCTAGAGTTCATTACAGCTGGTTACAGGAGTGAATGTCGCTGAACGAAAGCCATTAAAGAGATTCAAACATTAATCTCTCTTTGGTTGTCTGATGGGCTTGTTTACACTTCACTTAAAGCCAATGTCGCAAGTAAATTATGCGTGCTTGGGAACGATTTTCTCTTTACATTAATAAACAGTTGGACAGAACATTGAATATCGTTAAAGAAGAGAGAGACTGGTTCAGGATGTCAAAATCAATTTACTGCCAGAAAAAGAATTCCCAAATGTCATCTGCAAATAAAAAAGATCCTCATACGTTTATTATTATTACTGATAAAAAGGTCTCACAAGCTCTTTTTTTATAATTAACTCAATATTTTGTCACTTTTCTGTTTGTACAAACAAGTGAAACACCTTGAATGCCTCGCAGGAAAGACTGTCTTCGAATTTGTTTTTCTTCTATTTGTACAATTTATGTGTACACAACAGGTCTACACACAGAATAAACAAAAGTACTCTTCATGACTAGATCAAACCGACTGTTAGAACCAAACTCTGTAAGTGTGAACTAAGGCCCCGACATTATCACTTCTCAGTGAAGGCATGGTAACTGATACAAAATATAGATTTTCTTGCATCCAGCGACCAAGAAAAACTGACGGCTGACGAAAAACTATTAAACTCTTTCAAAAGCAGGTCAAGGGCACAGGCAGAGCTTCAGAGAATACAGTCCAGGAAAAAAGAAACAGGATAGTGACTCCATTTTAAAATGTATGTTGTGTAATGTAACCTGAAAACCAACATGACAAAAAGGATTGTGTTGAGCTGAATCTGTTATCTTTGAGCTTCCTGTTGAGATGTCTAAGAACGGGAAGTCATCTGTAGTCGATTCCACATGTGTGATTGTCCTGTCCCTAAAAAGAAACAATGTTGTGTTCACCAGGTATTTTCTGATGTGATTACCGCACACAGAAGGGAGGACTGCAGTCTCCGCGTATCTCCTACAGACTGACAGAGGTAATAAGCGACAGTGCTTGGTGAAATCTGTCCAAACCTTGCCTGCCTGTCGTGAGAGATAATCCTTTTGAATAAAAATAATAATCACTGCGTCCTCTTTAAAGAAGCTCAGCTAATGAAATCAATGGCGGCCATCTGGGACCATTTCATGCGCATCGACAAAGAGGGCAGCCGGACCTGGGTTGGAGAAACCATGGTAACAGGAAATAACAGCCTAGGGTACAAGGACATCCTTACATTGGTGCCTATTAGAGGGACAATCCATGAGACCGTGGGCTCGCCATCACACATGCGGGGACTATTCTACACTGATTTTCTTGTGTCAGCTGTCAACGTTTTGTCCTCTAACAAGCTACTAGTAGAACTTTAATGACATGCCATGGTGCACGGAGGGTCTCTGAGGAGGGCTGTCCGCCTCTTTCTACTCAAGTGTTCTCCATCTGTCTCCCCCCCAATCCCTCCTGTGTCATCCCTCTGTTTAAAAATGTCACCCTTAATAAGTCAATTAGTCCAGAACATTTTGTTTTTCTCAAGTGGGAGGATATCACTTGTGAGGATGTACCAATTCCTCGCATGGGGGGATATTTTCCTCACCTGAATTACGTGGGCTAAGCTTTTTCACCATGGGAGAGGAAATCACATTGTCATTTCAACTTCAGATCGGAGAGGTATTTGGTGTTTGGCCCGTTCCTGCAGCGATGCGCCAGGTGTTCGGAGGTAGACAAGACTTGAACCACTCTAAAGCTCTCTATCTCATCCTTCACACACACACTTCTACCCTGCTTTGTAAATAAATACGTGACACTCTGTGAAAGAATGTCCTTGTCGCCCTGCCCTGCCTTTCAGTGTTGCTTTTCAAACATGATTAATACGTTCTTTTTTAGAAACATGTCGTACGGAGGGAAACATATGGCTGCCGGCACCTCTGAAGTTAAGTTCAATCCTAACAAAGAAGTATTTTTGTCACCGTGAGGTAGCTTGGCAACCAGCCAGCCAAATGTTATAATGTGTTAATTAGTGATGGTTAGAGTAACAACGTTTGTAATTTAACTAAATTGATATCATGAAGTGTTTTTAAGGCATATGTAATGACTATTAAACTACTCAAAATCAACTGTTTGACTTAATTGAGACTGCATGGAGTTTGGAGTGGTGATTATATTCAGGTTAAGGTCTGATAAGTATACTTAGTCATTTTGTAGCACATTATCTACCTGTAGTGTTTGGATCATCACTCAAGGCTTGTACTAAAAATACATGAATAATTTGGGCAAATGAATGTGTTTTTTGACTAGTTTGAATACAAGTTGAAACGTTGCCAAAACTAAGCTCTCTGCACCTGCTCCTGTACCTTGGACTCAAATAGAAATGTCTTGGAGTGCTTTTACCCGAGTTGGTGAAACTACAGTAGCACTTCAAATCGATAAGGTCCGCTGGTTCGATATCAGGGGTGACATTCTGGAGGAGAGAGGGCACCCACCTTGCCGGGAGGAACTCCTTAAAGACTTTCAGGTATTATTTGTGCATTGCTTTTCCTCTCCATCTCTCCTATCTTGGCTTCTCTTTACTTTGAGTGTTGAGAGCTCCCTGGCCTGCTTGAGTGCTTCTTCAGCATGCTTGTTATCCTGATTCTCTTACAGGTGAATGGCGGGTTTCTATTGAACATCCTCACATCAAATCCCCCTAAAAATCAATTCTGAGGCTTCACTGATTGGCTCTCCCTGTGCCTTTAGTTTCTTTAGTCTCTGGGGAAGCACTGTAGCTCGGGCCAACTAAAGAAGTCAATCACACATGACTCATTGTTTGGGTACTGAAATCAAAGGATCCATTGTTGGCCAATGGTGCAAACATGAGTGAATCTGAGCATGTGGACACAGACGCTGTATTTACATACAGTTCAGCACAGTCCCTGTCAGCTCTAGGACTGAGTGCTTCTGGCTGTGAACGCAGCCTTATGGGTCTGCTGGCATAACATAACAAGTGGCTGCTCTCAAGAATGACTCATGAGATTCTACAACAGGAAACAAATCACCGGGCTGACAGAGGCTACCAGTTGCTTTGGATTTACTTTTTCTAAACACGCCTGACCTTCTTCAACAATTCAAAGCAGTGAGGTAAAGGTTTATAGCAGTCATTTTAAACTGTTACTATGCAGGAAGAGGGATCAGGTCGTTGGTCATGTCTTCTAGCGAGTGTACACATTTATGACAAGAAACGTATACAGTAAGTGCACAAATATGTTTCATGCCAATGGGTTGAATAATATTCTTTATGTCGAAGGACTGTTTGTGGTGATTCTCACATTTAAAAAAAATGACTTCATTGAATGTTACTTACTGACTCATCCACCTTAACCTTCTGTTAGAGAGTGATTGACAGCTGCTTCAGTAGCCATCACGGGCAATCTGCTCGGCTAAAAACAAGCTGCCTATATGTGTACACTGTGAGGGAATCCTGCCAGGAAATATACAAACTCAACATAACACATAAGGGTGAGTTAGTCATGCTGATTCCTACTTAGCTAAAAGCAGTTGTATAATGTCTTCTGTAGCACTAGAGGAACGATGACTACTGTATAAAAATAACCCTGATGATGTCATTAGGCTAGGTGGCTACACATTCATATCAAAATCTATTGTTTAGACATGACAGGAA